GTTTTTAAAAAAAGAAACTGAAAAGAAATGGCAAATATTAAAAAGAGAATAAAGGATATTTTTCTCTCTTTTTTTTTCCTAAAGAATTTTTTAAAGTTTTTCCATGGAAAGAATTTATTTCTAAAAACTAAAAGTTTAAGTTAATAAAAGGCTTGCCAATGAACACTTTATCCGCATCTTTTTTTTTTTATGTTCCTGATTATAGCAAATCATCCCTTTTTCCCCTCCACCCTTCCCACAAGCAAAGGAAAACTTTTATAGTTCTTTGTATTAATGTGAAGATGCACATTTCTCCTAAAGCTACTCAATTGGTCAACTTCTAAAACAAAACCCTAATGAAGAGAAAAGACAAATTTTACCTTATTTCCTTCTTCTTTGAATTGGGGATTAATTATTTTTACAAAAGAATAAAACAATTGACGGATTCTGGAATCTCCAATAAATGCAATATGTTTATCTACAAGGCAGTTCTTTGCCTCACTGAAATCACAAAGAAACATTAATTAAAATAAGTAAAATTAGCATATTGGCATTTGAAGCACACGGTTTGTGAAAAAAGTAGTACAGGACTGTTGTGCACACAGTCATGCTGCTTTAAAAATAGGTGGCCACGCTTGTCCAACCAGTCCCTGTATGATTAACTGATTTTCAACAATAAGAAACCCCATTTATTAAATGTTTAAGATGTACTCTAACCATATTTGTTTTAAATCCATTATTTCTGAATGAGTCCATGAGGTGGCTATCCTAGTCCCAAAACAGGGCCTTCCTTCACTTAAGGGCTATTTCCTTGGGTCTCCACTCATCTCTCACCTGAGATAAAGTAGGTTGGCTAAAGCTCTTTCCTTTGGGCAGGAATCATAACCCAGACTCACCCCCAACCTTACCCTCCTTCAGGAATTCTCTACCATCATACAGAGAAGTATCATCTACCCCTCTCCACTAGATAGTATGATCTATCATAGCAAAAAACCCGCAAACAACAAAATGAAGAAATCTTACCTGATTTTGTATTTATGCATCATACAACTGTGAGGTTGCCAAACTTTCTCTCCAAGAAATCTGCCACTTGAAAGAAGGTATTCACATGAATCATTGCCTATAACAGTTAAACAAAAGTGTTGTAAACGATAGTTAAATGTTCATATGTTGGTTATCTGACCTATGTAAGCTCTTTGAAATGAGAAAGTACAAAGTTTTCTATGATTCACTATACCGTTTAGGTGCATTTTTCTCATCCATGAGAAACATGACAAATATAAGTACATCACCATTCACAATGATAAGAGCCACTAATGACAGGTATTTCACCCTATGAGAGACTAACTCCTACATGCTACATTTAGTGCTTTGGCAGTTCCTTCTGCTTCAGGTTTTCTTTCTAAGGACATCATTTCAATCTCAAACTAGCCTTTATATCTGTTTATCACTCCTACTTCTAGCTGAGAAAGAAAAGTTTAAGAGTTGGAAATAATTTCCTCTTACTCAACTATTGCAATACACAGTACATTATCATATCTGGAAACCTAGTTAATATTGAAATATTTTATAAACTTCTTAATTTTCACAACTTTCCTGTGATGAAGTATGCTATCCCTATTCTGTAAATGTGTGAACAGAGAAAGACTTATTTAAGAATCTCTTAAAACGCTTAATAAAACTGCATCCTTTTACAGTCTTACAAAGACTTTAAAGCCATGTTATCTACAAGGTGGCCAAAGATAAACACAATCAGTATCAGTAATAAATTGCAGATTTCAGCTACTAATATTCTCTACTGCTCTTGCTACCTCTTGTCTTCCTTTAGGATGACCAACCGACTCCTCCCAGTTTGGTTGGGACTGTCACAGGTTTACAGAGAAAATTCCACATGGGGGAAACTTTCCAGTCCCATGTAAACTGGCACAGGTGGTCACCTTTTCCCTTTGGCCATTTTACTGTACATTGGCTTAAATGACTGAAGAAGTTTAAAGGGGGTTGGAGGGATTAAAAAAGTTCAATAATGTCAAATGAATGAAGCAAAAATGAGATGTTTAGATTAACCATGGGTTTATAATAAAATATATGTATCATTTAATTTAATCTCAAATTCTTTATGAACAGTTAAAACAGCATAAAACAGCATACTTTGTTTTACAAAAAACTAAAGTTGGGATAGGGAGTCTGGTAAGGAATATTACAGAACAAAAATTGTGCTGAATCACTTATGGGAGGGATAGAGAAGACCCAAAGATATTTAAAGTAGAACATATATCTCTTCTCAAACCAGTTATCTGTTTGGCAAATATACAGAAGAAAAGGTGATACAAATGCAACACAGGTATGCATAAATAATGGAAGTGTTGTTACCTCAGTATCATAAATTCTAAAATGGAATAGGAAAGTGAAAATACTGTATTATTGTGTGGGTGGAAAGCAAAATATCAATTATTAAATGTTTGCAATTATATATTTAGCCTGTGCAGGTTTTCTTGTATTTCAAAGATTTTTTAATAACATCTCTCTAAGGAAACTATAAATAATCAGTTCTTAATTCTTTCCAATTATTAAAAACTAGTTCTAGTTCTAAAAAGACAAAATTAAGCTACGTATATAACCTAGGAATGAAGAAAGGACTATAGGAGCATATAATTAAGTTATTTTCCTAAAAACAGCACTCATGCTGCATTCTTTTATAATGGCCACACAGTAAAATGCTTTTACTAAAAATCTGGTAAATGTTTAAAATTATGATAAAAATTCCATATTTATAGCATTTCTACCTCTTTAATACATCTCTTAAAGCAAATGAAAAGTTAGTTAACACATTCATTTTCTAAAAAAGTTATAAAAAGTTGCAAATAACTAGGTATTAATTCTGTGGAGTTGTTCTTTTTCTTCCTTTCTCCTTTTAAAAAAATTAGTTATTTGATTTTCGTTTTCTAATAGAAGCCTAAACAGAAACATACCTTGATCAGTCTTCAGTGTATGGGATTATGTTATTTGTTAACGACCTATATATGGGTTATGAATATGATTTTCTGGAAATGGAAGTATCATCCAACATCTTAAAATAACCAGTCTTTTCTCCAACAGAAAATGTGTTTAAAAATATAATGTTCTTTTCTTCCTCAATACTACTACTCACACGTTGTTTTTAAAGGCCAGCTAGTGGGAAAGCAACAGCTCTCATCTGATGAACCCGTATTAGAAAAACCCTATAGCAAACCAAGTACGAAGTTGTCACTAACCAAAAAGTATTGTAAATACAGTATTTTGAAACTACTAGTCTTTCTAGGAAAGAAATTCTTAATTTGCTAATGAATGCTTGCTGATGATGACTCTTCTTAAAATATTTTATGGTGCAAAGTTTTTTTTTTTAAATAATCCTATATCTGAATTTAATAGTCTCTGTATATCGGTTAAAGTCCTGTCAGAAGACAAACTATACTAGTTCTTTTAATAGAGACTCTAATATGAAGACATGTTAGAAAAGTAAGAGAATTGCTAACTAGAAAATTGAAAAGACAAAAAGGAGACTTTTTAAATATTTATATTTGTCAGCAAAATAATAAAAATAGTAGTAATAATAAATACTATTGTAATCTGATTAAAAATAAATTAACCTGATTAAGAAAAGAAAATGCCACAAAATCCCATACTCTAAAAGAAGTTCTCTTCTTCTGGAAAAGAAATATTTTTTAGATCAAATCACTGAATGTAAATCATGATGTTCAAATAAGTTAATGTGCCACAATTTTATTATGTATACCTACTCTATGTAATCCATGCTGGCACGTATTTTCCTTTCAGAATTTATCCAGAAAAACCCCAAAGGAAAGCAAAACAAAAACCCCATTTTCAATCACCTCATATAATTTTGATAGCTACTTTAATATAACCAGCGTGAGATGAAAGTTGTCAAGTGCTCAGATAAATCAAGCTATGAACACACACACACACACACACACACACACGCGCGCGCGCGCACACACACACACACACACACACACACAGAGTAACTAAAAGAATAGAATTATCTACTTCAGCTATCTCCAATACTAAGATTATCTAGATGAATGGCAGTCTTCCTCTTCATTCTGTTACCTTAAGCATAAGCATTTTGGTTTGTCAGTCTAAAGTCTCAGGTTTTTATGCATGATTTTTCTATAATAGAAAAGACACGAAAAACAAGCAAAATGAGTAAAAGACAAACAGGTGAAAAAAAAAAGCTGAAAAACAAATGTAACAACTAAAGAAAACATCTGATGTGCAAAATAAAAGGTAGCTTATATCTTCCTTTGAATAAAAATATCCATAGCACACTGTGCCTTGAGACTGAATCATTTACCAAAGCTTTATTTTTTATTACCAACTATTAAAATACCAGATCATAAAGTTTACAGTATGATCTGTAGTATATTTTGTTTGCCTAAAATTCATCAAGTTATACTTTAGTCTGTGCTGAAAAATTACCATTTACATTTTTCTTTAGACAAGCTAGTAGTGCCTCATTACAAGTGGTGTGATACAGATCAGGATTTTTCTAGCAGTCCAAGAAAGAAAAGGCTAAAAATCCTATAGCTGCTTCTTTCTTGCTTTAATTTCCGAGGCTCTGAACTTAACCTTTCCCTAAAACGTGCAATATTTAACATTTGCATTTCATATGCCAAGTGATAGAAAATAATTAGATTTCAAAAAAAATTAAGGCATTTGAAGTAAGTTCACTTTATCAATTAAAAAATTAAAATCTATCCAGATTGGAACTACTCTTAGTGCTATAGATACTGGCTTCTTGTCATAGAATTGATGTTTTTAGTTTGTAATCACAATATTAGTTGACATTTTGTAATTCAGTAATGTCAGAGATTGATAAAATTTTGAAAAGATAGTTAAAAGAATATTTTTTAAAATGTCATTCTACTGTTATGTGAAAATAAAATTAATAATGCAAAAAACCCCCTACTATTTAAAGTCACTATAAAACCATGCTATTAGAACATGAAACTCAAAGCAAAAGAACCAAATGCAAGGAGGAAAACAGAAGGAAATAAGGACTTTAAGAATCTATTTATCCAACAATTGTTTATGGAGTTCCTACTGCATGTTAAGCTCTGATGATTTAAAGATAAATAAAAAATACTCTTGGAAGCTCACAGTTTGTGTGGAGAAGACAAATTGTTATAATACAACATGATAAGTATGTACTAACTGCTATAGAAACAATGAATCCTAATTCCTACTTCTGTGGTAGTAACATGAACCAGGCCTTGGAAAACTCTGTACTTTCCAGGAGAGAGAGGTCACCGCAGGCATAGAAAATCAGATATTTGTTAGATATGTAAAAGGGAAAAGCATATTTAGACTGTGAGCCTGGAGTTTAGGAAGAAGGAAAAAACAAAAACACAGGTAATAAAAAGTAAACTGGTCAGATTTTGAAGTTTTATACATGCAACTTTTAGAAAATCACCACTTTACTGGAAAAAGAATAGGAAAACTCTTGGCTGGTACTGTGAGGTTAAGTCAATGTTTCTAAATGGTTTAATACATGTTCCTCTGGAAAATGCTTTCTCACTTCATCTTCTATACATCGCTACTGTATAAGAAGCTCTGAGAAAGGCAGAGTACAACATAATGGCATGAGGTCGACTAATTGGGTTCTAAATCCTACCTCAGTTACTGACTAATTGTGTCTACTTAGGCAACTTAACCTCTCATGACTGACTCATCTTTAAAATGTAAATAATACTGTAATTTGATGATTCTAAGAGCATTGATTATAAGACACATCATTATTTTATTTAACAGTAGGAAAGATATTATCAATTAAACTTCGACATATAATCAAAGTTTTAAAAACTCATCCTGATTACAAAAATGTTAGAAAGGAGAGAGGATAGAATAAGGTTAATTGTATCTACCTCATAGAATGGCTGTAAATACAAAATGAATTAAAACATGTAAAACCCTCAGTGGAACACTACCTGGTATATATAACATGATCAATGTTAGTTAGCATGTAGTGTTTGCCAAGCTTTACTTTCTGCTGTGTTTCTTTTACTTGCTGTATTTTGTAAATAAAGCAAGAGATGCTGAATATGTGTATTCAAACTGTATTCACTCTACCTTGCCTGAGGCACTCTCATACCCACACATTGGAGATTTTAATAGACAGCCTAAACCTCAGTATCTAAAAGAAGGCCCTTTCTTATTCTAAAGATTTGATAGTGTTATTCAAGTGTATAGTTATCGTTGTGTTAAAGGGCATTGCATCTGACTCAGTTTGACAATGCCTAAGCATAAGGATGGCTAAAAAGTTCCTGGTAAGACTATTTCTCAGTCTCTGGCTCAAGTTCTTGACATTCAGTCTGGGCAAGAACACACACCAGGTGTACTGCTTCACACTCAAGGCACTGAAGCACCTAGGAAAGCTGATGACTAGTTTCTGGAGGAGGCTTTATAAACAAACAACCCCAGATTGCCACACTGAATCATACGGTTCCATCTGACATTCTATTTTCCCTGCTGATGACAGATCTTGAAAGGATGAAATAATCTAAATATAATTAGTATCCAAGCTTATCAAAAGACGGAAGCACAATTAAAGGGCAGGGGGAAGGATTAGATGTTTACCTTTAGGACTAAAGCACCAAAATTACACAAAATTGGGTTAGATTACCGTTATCTTATACCAAACTAACATGTGATTCATAGTGTTAGAAAACTTTCTTCAAAATCACAAATTAATGCATCAACATTTCTAGTTTTATTTTGCATATGATCTGTTAACAGTAACTGTAGTGGAAAGATGAAGCAATGGCCTGCCAGGTCCTATGGCTGTGATCTGTAGGAGAGTGGAGGAGAAAGGCTAAAAGGGTATAAAGAATTTATTTGTTTAAATCCATTTTGTGTCTTTGTATAAAAGAGCCATTCATTCAACATGGTACTAGAGTACAAGATTTTTAATCCTCAAATATTGGAGAAAACAAGGCAGCAAAACTGATCAAAATGTTCTACACTCTGAAAGATTTCCTGAAAGGGATGAGTAGAGAGCTCAGATTCCAGTACCCCATTTACTGGATATTTTGCCAAAGTGGGTGTGAAGTGAAATGGGAATAGCGTTAAATGCCCACCTGTCCACTACACATTCCATCTTGACCAATTAATCTCACAGTCACCAAGAGCTGTCCTGATAATGGCTTCGATAATACTAAGAGCAAAAAATAAAAATCCTATCATTATTAACCTCTCACAGCCTGTCAGTCTCTCCTAATGGCACGTTTACAGAGAAAAAAATTTTTTTAATCAATCAAGGACAAGTAAATATCCCTTGATTATTGAAAAGATAATTCGTTCTGAAATAAGGTCATATTTCCTTTTCCCCTTTACACCAACTTCAAAACCCACAGAGAAGGCCTCCTTTCAAACTGCTTCCAACTTGCTCTCATTGCCCACCTCGACTCTGGTCAACCCCTTACTTCTTTTCACATATCTGCCCCAGTGCCTTTATTTTGTAAAAAGTGTGCAACCAGAAGCCTTCAAATGTTTCTGAATCACAAAGGCTGAGTGACACCTCCTCCATTTGGCCAACGGCATCTTTTGCCAGCTGTCACCCCCAGTGCCAAAGGAAAACGGGGCGGCCCTTGCCGCTGTCCAACAACAGCTCGGCCCTGCTATTACAAGGCAGAGACCGGATTAAATAAAGGCTAAAGAGCCGGACCCCTAGGGCGCAGAATCGTTGACCCCGCTGCGGACGGGGGCGCCCCTTTGCAGGGAGGCCTTTGCCTTCGTGCGTCCCGGGCTGGTTTGGCATAATGAAGAATTATTTATGAAATGTCGACAAAAGAGAAAATCTCCTTCAGAATGTTGATGAGACAAAACAAACTGACGGAACTTTCAATTACATTCTCTGGGTCTTGTGCTTTTCAGTTTATCTTTGCAGTCAATCCCTAACATCCTTGGCTTCCATATCTGATCACTGGGGTGAGGCGTCAGAAGAAACAAGCACACATTAACTAATTTTAGGCAATCACTTTAGAGAACAAAGTATAACTCTACCGAAATGCTGCAAGCTTCAGGGAGTCCTGGGAAGCCTGTTGAAGATCTCACTACAGACTACCAGTGAAAATGCCTCTGAATTTAAAAGCAGTGCAGATAGTGGGGGGATTTTAGTAAGAAGAGAGAGATGGAAAAGAAGAAAAATTATATATTATGTCTGGGAATAAGTCATGAGAGAAAATAGTTTGTAAACTAATTAATTGATTGAACATTGTATAATCATAGTCTCCAAACAAAAGTT